CAGAGCAGAAAACTGAGCACAACTTACAGTTCGAGCTTCAACAGTCCAAACACAGTCGAGCTTCAAAAACAGAACCGAGCTGTTCCCCTTCTCCTTCCCCCTTTTTTTTTTCTCTGATTCTTCCTGGGCTCGTCCACTGACCTCCAAGAATCAGGCAGTATGTGACTAAGCTTCTAGCCCTATGATATTCAGGTTCAGATTTGCTCTGATACCATAAAGAAAACTAAAGAGAGGAGAGCTTGAGAGTTCAGCAATGAGGGTCTGAGAATGAGAGTTTCGAACCTTCACTCTCTCAGCACCCTAACATTCTTTTATTAAGATATATTTGAATAATTACAAGGAGGCCCTTAGGTGGGCAAGAATTTACAAAGAACTTAATATAGACAGGATGGGCCCAGAATAAGGCCCATTACAGAAAAGAAACATAAATAACAAGAAAGAATAAACAACCTATGGGCCATTCGGCCCATCTTTTCTACAGGTACTTGGTAAGAGAACTAGCAAATAATAAGTTTTGATGCAACTTAGGAACATGAAGAATATATCCAAGGGAAAGGTTATGGGTAAGTTTGACTTATCCTTGACCCGAGAGAGGGACTTGAGATCCATCTGCAACAATAATCTTGCCCTTCCCAGGGGTTAACTTATATGAAGTAAAATGTGAAGGCATACCAGTCATATGGGCACTAGCCCTATAGTCAACAATCAATGGGCTAGAGGAGGTGAAACAAGCAAGTGCAGTACCTGTGTTAGCATATGCACTAGATGGATTACTAGAACTAGATGAGGAGGATGCCCCATTCTTTACCAAGTGTAATAGAAGACTCCAAAGTTTATCCATCACGCCAAAGGAGTCATGAGAGGGAATTGTCACATCAGAAGATTGACCCTTGTTACCAATTGTGACCAAATGAGCATTTTCTTTCTTTCCAATTTTAAACTTATCCGGTTTCAAGTGAGGATTGAGTTTACAACATCTTTCCTTAGTATGTCTTGGCTTCTTACAATATCTATAGATGACATCATCAAAGTGCTCAATCACTGCGGGTTGTATCATGGCTACTCTTCTATTTTCTTTCCCTTGCACAAGAGAGTAAGCAGTAGCTAGAGAGACAATACCTACACTCATAATATGTTACCTAGTGAAATCAAACTCTAGATTCAAGCCAACCAAAAAGTCCAAGACCCTATTTTCCTCAATGTACTTCCTATATTGCTCAACATCTATATGATCCTTCCATTCAAAAGTTTTCAAATGGTCCATTTCTTCCCAAAGAGATTGTAGAGAGGAAAAATACATTGCTACTGTTCTCTCCCCCTGACACATATACTACAAGCTTCCCTCCTAAGCAATATAATTTAAGAGTATTGTTAACCTGTGAGTAAATGGCGACAACCCTATCCTGTGAGGTTGCATTGAACAGACCAACCAAGACATTAATAGTGAGTTATCTTGTTCCCACTTTACAAGTTGAGGGTCTTCAATTTTTGTCTTCATATCCTTGCATGTAACAAATTCCAACTTACCTCTCCTTGTGATGATAAGTTTAGCCGATTGGTCCCATCAAGTTTTACAATGGTCCCATCAAGTTGGTCCCACCAAAAAGTTGGTCCCATCAAGTTTTACAATGGTTATCATACAGCTAGAAACATCAATGTTTCTAGGAAACACACTGAAACCCATTTGTACATCCTTTGGCGATTCCATACCTCACAAACAACTTTTTTAACAACTAAGGAACACCTGAACACCCAACCAGAATACAAACAAACCCAAAAGAAAGGGTCATACTCGATTGAAGGCTAGAAAAGGGACCAAAAAGTTGGCTAGCAATAAAATAGAGGGAGAAGAAAACTCCCAAAAATTTTTTAGGGTTCAAAAAATACAAGATCAGTTCTAGAGGTGTAAATCGGGTCGTGCTGCCTGCAGCCCAGCACGGTGGTCCGTAGGCCTGCCAGGCCTGACACGATCATGTGGGCCATGTTGGGCCTGGGGTTTTAAGTCCATGGGCCGGACCGGGCCAGCCGGCACGACACAACCAAGCGGGCCAAGCCGCCCGTGGCCCGCGGGCCGGTACAACCCAATCTACATCCTGGCCTACGACACAGCACAACACAACCCATATATATTATTTATATATTTTATATAATATTATATAAATTATAATTATATAATAATATATAGTATACAATATATTAATAAAATAAATAATTTTTTTTAATTTTATTATACTAATTTATTTAATTATTGTATATTGTATACACAAAATTCATATAAAATTAAAATTTTAAGTTTTTTTGTCAATTTGTTTTAAATAAATAGCTTTGGCCCGATGCACAGCCTGACTTGGCCCACGACATGGAACGGGCCCGCAGGGGTTGGGCCGTGGGCCATGCCGGCCCGACCCCAAAATTTTTCACCGGGGAGGGCAGCACGGCCAACACTTTGTGCGGGCTGCCTACGGGCCGTGCCGTGCCGGCCCGACACGGCCCACTTTACACCTCTAATCACTTCCCATCATTCCCAAAATATAAAACGAACTAGAAGAACCAAGTTTTGCATAATATAAACCCATCAAACAAGAGAAGCAAGCCTCTAAATCAAATTTGAAATTTTTGTGATTTTCCACTTGAAAAATCCACAATAAATCATAGACGCATCAAACAACAATGAGAGATATACCAAAATTCATCAAAAACCAGGGTGAACCAAACCATATAATTTTTAGAGATTGTTGCCGCCACTCGTACAGACTGGTGACATCATCCGACGGTGGTCTGGCGTCAACATCTTACCTTCCAAGCAAAAACTAGTAGAGAAAGACTCTCCCAAGACCTTCCAGTGGCTCTGATACCAACTTGCAATATCTAGGGTTTTATTAAGAAAGAAAACAAGAAAAAGAAGAGAAGAGAAGAGAGAAAGGGAGTTACGAATGGAGAAAAGAATTATTGTTCACTCTCTCAAACTTGAGATTTTATATTTTTAGAGAAATTACAAGTAAGCCCTCATATGGGTGTCCAAATACAAAAGAGCAGAAATGACAAAAATACCCTTGCCCCAAACAATCTCAGCAGGTTGTACAAGAGTGATACTTGTCCATGAAGTAATCATCTTTGGAAAGTCAATACAGTCATACTTCATCTTGTTTGACAAAAAAAAAAAGTATGAGAAAATAGAAGAATTGAGAGGAGCCAAGCATAAGTGAACCAAGTTTGTACTTTGTAGGATCAGCATCATAAGAGCAGGATGGTGAATACACAAGCAAGAAAAACAAGAACTACTTAAGAAGGAATGGAATCAAAATTATCCTTGAAATTTGATATATAGCCAAAAATAAATTTTATTTCCATGAATTTCTGCTACTTTTCTTTACAATTATAACCAAGATGACAATAGCTAATGTCTCAATCTAAAGACTTCTAAAAATCCCAAAACCATCAGCTACATATAGAAAGGCTTTGATAACACATAAAAACTAGTAGCATATATTTTAAGATACATTTATTTTTCCCAATACAATTTTCAAACAAATCCTTGAAGAAATAATCACTATAAATTTAATAAAACCAAAAGAAACCTTAAAAACTAAGACGACTTTAATTTAAAGGCTTAGAGAACCAAAACCATACCATATTTTGGCCATATTAGGAATGTTTAAAGATCTCTAAAGTTTGTGATTCTAGAAGGTAAAGAATCAATGGAGCTCCAAAATAACTAATGCGAGTAAGAATCTAAGACAATGGTTTCAATAAAAGCAAGCGATTTACCAAGGGAAGAATCATGATTAGCTCATGGTTTTTCACCAAAATACCAACCTGTGGTAGTGGTTCTCTGTTGCAGGTAGAACAACATGTCTGGATGCCAAGGCACTTCCATTTAATAATGAAGTGACACGAGTTCTAGTAGTGATGTATTTTGAACTTTCCTCACTAGGTTCCCTTGATTCAGCTTCTATGTTATTTTCCAGGTTATTGAATCTTCTTCCTTCATTGATATCAAGCTCATCAACTTCAAAAACAAGGAAAACAATACATCCCAACATAGTCAATTCAAAACATCCAAAAAAATAGAAAATAGATGTAATTTCCTAGATGTAAATAAATACCAAATAAAAACTAACTAGATAGAATTTCTTAAAATTTCTAAATCAAGCACTTCCTTCTAGAAAGGGTAAGTTGTTGTTTATGAAAAATATAATAAATCAAATGTAGAGAAGCACAAACATTGGCAATAGCCAAGACTAAATTATGCCTATAACTATCAAACAATGTTTTAACAACATCAAAGCCAGGCTATCCATATTTTTTTAATAAATCCCAATGTAATAAAATGTTGTTTCTTTTTTGTTATAGTGTATAAACATATACGAGAAAATATCTAAAAACATAATACCCATACAAATAAATATGAATTATATATGGACATATAATTGTATACTGAATATTTTCTTCTGGAAAAGGAAAATGTTGCTTATTATGACTAATATCTAAACTACTGTAAAAAGTGTGAATGGACCTTGAGTGTTTCTGGACTTTTCTGGTGAACAAAATCCCCATATTCGTTAATTTTCCCCCATTTACTGCGAGGGAAAAATCATAAAAAGACATTTGGTTTAATCATGCATTTAATATGCATATTAACTATTAGTAATAATTAATATGAAAAAGTGCCATTAATGTTTCTTGTTGTTTGTGACCGAACTATCTCTATTTAGTATCTTGTCCTATTTTTTTGATAGATTATCTTGTCCTATTGTATAGCAAGGGAAAAAATTTAATTGTTTTATGTTACATTGAAGGGAGCTAACCTGTCTTTCTTAATGATCCCCAGTGGTTTAATTATAATTTTGACTCAAAAAGACTAAATTTTCAGTGGCCTTTAAAAATTCTATCTACAATTATTTAAGTGGTATTATACCACTGAAATTCAAGGTTAGAGGAAAATATTTCTAGGTCCACCCATTAAGTAGTTGAGAATGATTAGATGTGAGCCTTCTGAATAGCTCAGATTTTTTGGCTTTTAGAAAAGCCACGGTACAAATGCACTTAGGTTAATCTATTTTTCAATGAACAAAGTCCCTTACCCAATGTTGGTCCCAGCCATCTGTGGCCTCGGGAGGGGTTGACTGGATACAACCCTAACCTTTTTTGCATTTTTTTTTTTTTGCACAAAGTGGCCGCTCTCAGACTTGAACCCGTTTTCTCACGCTTGGAAAATTACACCAAGTAATGGCCCTTTTAAACTAGAATGCATAGTATCTGAAGTTAGTTAAATATATGTTCTAAATTGATTGGTTCCTTTATAGAGGTACTTTTATAACTTAAAATTCTGAAAGTCATGGTGACACCTCTTTATCATGTCCATATGAATATTTACATTTTCTAAATTCTATAAATAAATAATGGTTAACAGACAGATTATCTTTTACTGTCATATGATTTTTTTTTCAATAAGTAATAGAATTTTATTAATTAATAAAGATCAATAAGGAATTACACAGATATTGCTTCCCTCAAGGAGGCACGAGATGCTGCCTCAAGATAACCCAAACAGTTACAATTTAGCCCCAAAAAGCTGATTCCTATGCACCCCTTGCTTAGCTAGGCAATCTTCCATCCCATTTGCCAATTTTCTTTCCCATTGAAAGCTGACAGAGATGTTTGTGGTTAGCAATTTAGATATGCACTAATTTTACAAAGATTCTTTTTCCATCAGTAGCACATTACATAAAACCTGCATACGAAATGAAAGGGCAACAGTAACACATAATGAACTAAATTGAAAACATTGTCCACTACAAACCTACCTTCTATAATATCCAACTCCCCATTTTGGATGAACTTTGCCGCTTTTTCCTGTAATGATAAACTTGTTGAAGATCCTGCGGACATGCAACTTCCTACCCCAGAATTGAGAATTTGAATACCATTTGCGCTAGAAAATTCGTTTTCAATAATGGAATTATCATTTGGTAATGACACTTCTTCAGAAAACCCAATCACATTTTCATCTTGGCCTGTTAAATATGTAGGAAACTATAAGAGATGTCAAGTTCATTGTAAAATAAGATCAAATGTAAGCAATTCCAAGAAAAATGCAAACCTTTTGACTCATTTTTGTAACTGTCAGTTCCATTTTCATTTTCAGCTGAGCTTGCCTCTAGGTTGGTTTCTTCTTTTGTTGAGTTACTCAAAAGATCTGTAATTAGCTTATATCCTCTCCGTCTAACAATTTTTGCAAGGTCTTCCCTGTTTGAATTTTAGAAGAGAAGACCTGAATCAATCCTTGAAGAAGTTAATACAAAATAAATTATTATATGGTAAGTGGTTTATCCATCATGAAGAAGAGAGAAATCAATCCACAAATTTTGTTCATTTTTTGGTGGGTAATTTTTTTTTTTACAGTAAATCACTTAATTTAAAAATAAAACAAAAAAGAGACAAAAATACAAGGAAAAGAAGAAAATCAACACTCCCCACCCAAGCTTGGACCCACTTTATGAGTGTAGATTATGTGTAGAGAACACTGATGTGGGCCCCACAGCTATGGTTCCACTGTGTTCGTAGGGTGGAAGGTGTTCTAGTCTTCCTAGGGTTAGCTATTGGTCATTTAGTTGTTTCAGTTGTTATTTATTTCAGTCTTATTTTTGCTCTATTTGTTATGTAAAGACTAAGGGCAGATCTGTCCTTTCCATGTAATGAGCATAACCTATAAATATTAATTAAAGTGGCGGCGGCAGAACATTAAGCTTCTGCTCCTCCTTTTCAACTCTTGTGTTCTACTGCTTCTCCTCCCTCTTCCTCCTCTTTTCTCTTTACCTTTCTTCTTATTTTCGAACCTGAAATCAATTAGGGTTCAAGACTGATAACAGTCCTGAACTTCTACTATATGCATCAAGGAGAACATGTTAATTCACAGTAGTTAATAAGGGCATTAATTCATCTGTTAGTGCACAGTAATTTGCAATGTTCAGAGAACCGGACCGGGCATGGAACCAGAGAAGGGAGAAGTTCATGGGCCAGAGGTTCAACTGGGGATTGAACCATGATGGCATGGCAGATATATATATATACACATATTTATTACAGGTCATATAAAAATTATATAATATATTTTACAATTTTTAATATACTTAAATATGGTGTATGGGTGGTAAGTTAATTTTTAAAACAAATAATTAGGGTTCAAGTCTCTTGATTTACATTTTCTTTAAAATACATGCGTAATAAAGTAATATGTACAATAAAGAGTCATTAATTAAAACAAGGAAAGGTCTAAAGGGCTATTAATTGAAGTAATTACACTTGGAAAATATTAAATAAGAAAATAGTTGTTTTCTGATTCAATTCAGTAGAAAAGTGAAGAGAGAAAGATCGTGAATAGAAGAAGAAAGAGAAGAGGAGAAGAGAAGAAGAAAGACAAAAGAAAGGGTTCGGCAGAATTAATTCTCTAGCCGCCCACTAAATTTTATTTATATTGTGATCTTTACAATGACTATATTTACCTTAATACCCTTACTTAAAAAAATAAAAGAAAACAAACAAGGCCCAACTGGCCCAACAACCATAACTGAAAAATAAATATATTAACAGGTAATAGCAAATATAAAGTGTGGGGCTGGAACCCCACACACACTACTAGCCTATCAGCTATCTCTACAATTACCACAAGGGTGTTGCAATGGGTGAAGTCTTTGAAGCTATTTGAAGATGTTTCCACAACAGCTTTGCTGAAAAACTAGAAGGAAGTGGCCCGGTCAGCTCCCAACAAGAGTGTTCTTCATCCATTATGGACCGTTCCAGCTCCGGGTTCATAAAGCTAAATTCTGATGGCAGTAGTGAAGGAAACCCAGACCCTTCAGGCATTGAAGAGGTGTTTAGGAATGAGGTGGGTGAGATTATTGCTATGTTCTCAGGTCCAATTGGGGAAGGAGACTCTCTCCGAGCTGAAGTCCTAGCTGTTTTGGAAGGTGTCAAAAAGGCTAAGGAGCTCAACTTAAGGAGGTTAGCCATTGAGGGAGACTCGATATTGGTAATAGACTGATTGCAAAAAGAGGAGAGCAGCATGTGGAGTTACCTAAATGAAAAAGAAATCTTCAAATGGTTGATCCGAGACACAACAGTGAGGTTACAATGGGTAAAGAGGTGCGCTAATTCCTTTGCAGATGCACTAGCCAAACAAGGGGTGGGAAGGAATCAATTGTGCTGGGCTTACATGTAATGTTTAATTTTCAGGGGAGTTAAGAGAGCTTATCTCCCCTGTCTTTGTACCATAACTCTTTTTTCATTATGAATTGATTTTGTTACTGATAAAAAAAAAAGTCATTAATTAAAACAAATTAAGAGTGGACTAATGGTAATTAAGCAATATGTGAAAATAAGAGGTCAAGGGTTCAAATATTGTCAAACACATTTTAAAATTTCAATTAGTTAAAGACCCGGGCAGTTTCATGAAACTAGGACTGGTCAGACAGTTTTCATCGATTTTTCAGCAAAAGTGGTTATTGGGGTAAGACCAAACCGGCCAAGGTCCCAAGTCATGGTTCAACTGGTCCAACCGGTCGGTCCGGTCCAGTTCAGTTTTCTATATGCTTGTAATTTATGATTGTTCTTTTATACTTGATAAGAGTAAATTAGTGCACAGTTAAATAACAGATGGAAAACATGTCATAATTTTAAAAAGAAAATAATTCTATATTTACAGGACCCATTATCAATCTCACAAAGTTTATTTAATTACCTCTTAATGCACAACTTGGGCCAATTGTGAAACCCACCCAACAGTTTCCATCAAATCAATCTCCTTCCAAAGGGATTTTAGCATTAAGAAATATACAGCTAAGGGCTTCTCCCCATATCTTAGATTATTCACATCATTCTTTAGTTTGTAGGCCCTAGCAACATTCAATTTCTAGGAATAGGCCTCTGTAACACTATCGCACACCTCCTTTGTAATATCCTACAGGTAGTGTTGACTGATATAAGGTTGCATGGATTTTTTTTATCAATAACAGAATTTCATTAAAATGAAAATAGAACAATTATAATATCCTTCCTTCTGCAGCCACTCCACTACCAGCTTGGAATCGCCTTCTATGATCATCTTTCTAAAAAATAAACCAAAAGAAAAGAAAAGAAAAGAAGATGGAAGAAGAAAGAGTTCAGAAGAAGAAAAAGAGAAGAGAAGAAAAGGAGATTGAACCCCTCTTCAATCCCCTAATTACTTTTATTAATCTACTAATTGTAAAAACCAGTACAATGATCAGAGTGTCCTCAATAAGGCGGCTACTAAATAAACAAAAAAAAAGAAAAAAAAACTAGCTCAATAAACTAAGGCCCACTAATTGAAAACATAGCATACCAATAACTGCACCCATAAAATAAAAGGACTAAGGCCCATTCAGCCCATCAACTCTACAGGAAACAAGACTCTCAAAGAAGAAAAAGACAAATGGCCCAAACAATGATGCCAAAGTAAAATCTAGGCTTTATTACAAGGACTCTCAAATTCACTCACAAAACTTGCATTACTCGACTCCAAAGCAACAGCGCATCCAAGATGTAGAGACCACCAACCACACATCCCTTACCAATCGTTCTCCCATAAATCAAATCCTAGAAAACACATAAATCAGGAAAAGAAAAGGTTAACTACAATTTAAGGATTTGGTAATACAACTAATGGATAAAAGATTGGTAGGAAATTTGGGAACATAATAGACTGAATGCAGGTGAACCCCATTTTGTAAGGACACAGTACCTTGGCCAGCAATAGTAGTGTGAGAACCATCTGCTAGCTTTACTTTGTCTCTACCAGAAAGTAAATGGTATGCTGAAAACAAATTTAGCTTACCAGTCAAGTGGTTGGTTAACCCAAAATCAATGACCAAGGGTTGGAGGATGAAGTAGACACATGGTATGCAGAGGCCTAGTTACCTAATGTGGACACATGTGAGGTAAAAGGAGTCATAGAGGTCTCTTCAAGATGACAGAGAGCCCTCCCATGAGTTCCCATCAGCGCCCCACAGCACATACCAACTGTGTATGAGAGATGTTCCCAATGCACGCTGAGATGTGCATGTGGATCACTGATGTGATCTCCCCTACCATACTCTTCCGATTAATCATGTAAGATATTCAACATTCCCTCCTTAGATCTAGAACCTATGGAGATATACTCTCCTGAGATGAGCCACCAGAAACTGCATTAGCTGAATAAGAATTCTTCTCAGACTATTGTGGTTGCTTCTTCTGGAGGGATTGAAAGTTCTTCAGCTTGCCAACAAGGTCTCAACATGTCTCTTTGGTATGTTGGGGTCTACCACAATGAGAATATTTTAACTTATCTTTGTCAAATTCTTCAATCTTCAGCCCTACACCACCTTTTTTATTTCCACCACTTCCCTTGGTTAAGAGATCAATTTGTTGCTCCCCTTCTAGAGGAGCCATGGCTATCCTCCTACTCTGCTCGGACTAAACCAGAGAGTACACTTCTTCAAGTGATAGGAGCTCCTTACTCACTAAAATTTTAACATGAATGGGCTCATGATTAGGGTTAAGACCAGCCAAGAAGGCAAACACTCGATGTTGATTCACAAGTCTTTTATACTCTTTTGCATCTAACTCATTCTTCTAGTCAACAGTTTGATAATAATCAAGCTCCTTCCACATCAAGGCAAGAAAAGAATAGTAGGATGATAGACTTTTCTTCCCCTATTTACAAGTGGACGACTCAACCTGAAGCTGATATATACGAGCATAGTGTCTCTGATCAGAAAAAGTATCCTTAGCTTGATCCCAAATCTCCTTTGTTGTATCAGCCCACAAAAAGTTCTTCCTCGAGCTAGGGTGAACAGAGGTCACAAGCCAATACATAATCAAATAATTGTCTTGATCCCACTTATCACAGATGAACCAGCCTCCTTGGGTTCAGGAACATCACCAGATAAATATCCTAGCTTTCCTCTTGATCCCACATAATTTAACACTTTTCGACCACTCCAAATAATTCAGTCCATCAAGGACAGTAATAGCCACAGGGAAACCCCAACTTTCAGCACCTGGACTGACCAAATTCTGACTTCCAGTGACTTCTGATATGGCTGAATCATCAATAGACATTGCCCAAACACAACAAAGGTAGCAACCACACTTAAAACTTATACCAGGAAAGAAAAACAACACCAACAAGAGAAAAAAAGGTTTGTTTTGTCTGCTAACTGCACACTTCTATCAGCTGGAAGACATAAAACTCCTTCCACAAAGGTGAAACCAGCAGTAGAAACAACTTCAAACACCACTGATCCAAAAAAGGAAAGAAAAAAAAAACACCTCCAGCCAATTCTCATAGCTTATATACTTCCAAAAAAATCAATTTTCAAGGGGAAAAATGGGCACCTCAAGCATCAAATACACCACTACACAGATTGCCTAGGTTGAAACTTGGTGTGAGATCCATAAAACAAGACACACCACACAACAGAATGAATCTCAGACCACAAAACCAGCAAAAACTGAGAGCTACCTCTCAACAAACTCAAAGCCTCATCACAGGATAAGAGAGAAACACCCAAACAATCACCCTTTAGGTCCTACGACCAAAAAGAAAAAAACAAAGAATAGCAAAACACTCCTTTCCCGATCAGATCCTTTTCAGATTTGGAAAGTTTCAGTCTTTTCCAGAGAGAATAAAGAAGAAGAGGAAGAAAGACCCACTCCAGCCTCAAACTTCTGTCCAACCTGCTTTGATACCATCTAGAATGGACGAGAAAGAAGAGGAGAGAAACAACAGAGAAAAAAGAGGAGAATATTTGCCAAAAAGCATCAATGGTGGTGCCCTCACTGACTTATGTATTAAGGTGTTTAAAATAAGAGGGAATATTACAAGAGTACCCCTGATTACAACTTAACAGAGAAAAGACACTATTAACAGTCCTAACAACAGTGTTCATTGTAGATGACAATCATCTTGTCTCCCTGATGTGATTTTGTAAGGGACCAAAGCCTATCATTACCATCAACTATCCATCCAGTAACAACCTGAGAATATCTAAGGGAATGATGTGAGCATAACGAATTTTTTGATAGAAGGAGCAGGCCCCTGATAATTAGTCAGAGAGTAATGGTTTCTATCCTTATAAACACCAGTACTCTGTGTCTCTTCATCTGGTTTTACCAAAAAACACGATATGCTCAAACCACACTCAATATCCATATTATTACCCACAAAATATGCATCATTAACTCTTAATAAGTTAAGCCATCAAAGCCCAACTGAACCTGAAGGTGAAGTTTGGTCAGTTAGCAATCTAGGCCAAATACCATGACACATAAACTGATAGTACAAAATCTATCTTTTCATCATTTTCTTCCTATGCAATAAATCCATATTGATTGTGGATGAGTTAGAATTTTAGTTTTCAAACAATAGTAATCATGTGTTGCCAATAATGTAATCAAGGAAGCTTGGTGATGTCTGTGCATTTTGGCTTCCCCAGGCTAGGCATACATGATTTCAGTATATTCAGATGCTAACACAATATTGTGTATCCATGTGGGGAGGGCTATGATTTCAGTATATTTTGTGTATCCATGCGAACACGATACCGGATACTGCATGGATACTTCAAAATATACTCTGGCAATGAGACTTTTAAAATATGTATTATGTAAAGTGGTATATCTTAACAAATTATGCTATAAAATAAAGGCCATTACCCAATGTTGGTCCCAGCTATCTGGGGTCTTGGGAGGGGAGAACTGGATATGGTCCTAACCTTCAGCAATTTTTTTTTTTTTTTTTGCATAAAGTGGCCGCTCTCAGACTCAAACCCATGTTCTCATGCTTGAAAACCAGATACAATTGGGTATCTGGATGAGATATGTAAATATATCACTAGGCAATCTTCTTTGTCATTGGCATCTACTGACTGGTGCTGCACAATCAACTTGGATGTATCAACTGCCTTGGGAATACCTAGGTTGAAGTTGTCTAGAATTGCCTAGTCATTGCCTTAATTACTACAATACCAATACAATATTTGTTGCATGTGTTATCTAACCGAAAAGATATTGGTTCAAAAGTCCTATATCTTTTACTTTTATTTTATTTTTCATTTTCTCATATATGTAAAAAGATGATATTGATATCTAAATTATGAGGTAATATTCCCTGAACAAAGTTAACAGATTAATAATATAACATTTTCATTACATTATCCTATCATCCTTGTTGTAGTTCCATATGATGTTATTTAAAAACAACAAAAAAGGCAATTACCCAATGTTGGTCCCAGCTATCTGGGGTCTTGGGAGGGTTATATTGGGTAGGGTCCTAACCTTGTTTTTTTTTGGCACAAAATGGCTGCCCTCAGACTCAAGCATGCCAGCCCAAGATTTTATCATTACACCAAGTAATGGTCCCTCCATATGATGTTATTGTATAGATAAATAGGTAAATGCATTTATTGTGTGAAATCATGGAAATATAGTTTTCTATTGAATAAAATTCTTTGCCATTAACCAAATACAACCCACTCTAAACCGGCCCCAAAAGGAACATCGATTGACAACATGATGAGATTCAGTTCCCTTTCAGAGTCTCTGTTGTAACAATTACCAGTGTAAAAACCTAGTATTTCCAATAAAAAAAAGGTGGAAGGATCACTTTAAGAATGTTATTTGTGTATGTTTTGTGCTTCAGAAGTTAGTAGAACCTTAAGATTTGCTATAAAAAATGACAATAACCTTCATTTGCATGAAGGGCCGTAGCTTATCATTGTCAGGTGGTTCAAGATTTTTCATCGGTACCAATCATCTTGTGGATTGCTATTATGGTTCATCCCTTATTTAAGGAAAACCATTTACTTCTTTCCATATATTCCCTCTCTGTAGATAGAAAACATTATTTATATTCAAATTTTTTAAGAAGAAAGAAATGGCAGATGGAATCCCATCCCAATAATTGCTATATTGACGCAACCATCACCACCACTGCAGTCATGCTATCGCAGCTTATTAGGTTACGCATTGTTTTAGCAGGATTCAATCAACATTGAACGCAAAAAACTTTGTTAAACATCGTTCAGATTAAAGCTTCTGAACATCCAAATTCGCAATAATTGCAGGTGCACATAATTACATACAATTTCCGACATAAATCATCTCTACAACCAAGAAACGAAATTCCGGAAAAGAAAGGAAAACTTAAAAGAAAACTATAGAAGCAAATACAGAGTAATCAGGCAGACCTTCCATGATGAGAAAGCTCCTTCAACGACGGCACATGGCCCTCCGGAAGTCCAGCAGCTGATACGAACTCCCGGAGTTCATTACAGAGATCCACGTTGCTCTTCACTTTCTTTCCAACCCTGCATTACCGAATAACTCGCATGCAGTAGAGAAATTAACAAAAAAGATAAACAATTAAAGAGAGAATCAAGAAACAAAACCTGGGTTTCTTGCTGGAAGAAGCAGATATCGTTATCAGAACTCTGCGGGGTGGGTTGCAATGGGTTCCCCATCTGAGCTGCCGCTGACGCTGTTCTTGGCCTATCACGAAGGATGATCGATGAAATGTGCAGAGCTCATGCGAAGTGCATGGGAAGAAGCTTGAGAGATGACAAAGAAATGCCATTAGAGCAGTGAGAAAGATTTTGCAGCATTGAGAGCTGAAATTCTTGAAGATTCTTGGTTCGTAATTTGGGGATTCAGTGAAATGAGTCCGGAGACAGAATGGTGGGAAATGCGGAACCGTGGATAGGCAGTTGGTCTTTTGTTCTGTGTGTTACTGGGTGGGCATGATTGATGCTGTCTGCTGCAGAGGAGTGACATAGGACCTAAAAGTTCGCTTTCGAGGACTTACGGAGATGCGTAGTGGAATCTCAGCCACACATTTGGCGCAGATGGGTCCACTTCTTCTGCCATTTACCCTGCAGACTGCACCAGGCCACCAGTAAAAAATGCACCATCGACCATCGTCTGTGGGCTGTGGCAAATCACGCCGACTCCGGTTTTGGATCGACTCGGATAGACCGGGAGTGATCGGGGTATGGACCGCGAGTCCGGATTGACCGGAGAGTGGAGTGGAGTGGAGGACAAAATCATCCACACCGGTTTGGGTAACCTGGAACGACTGGACGAGTGAACACACCAGGGTTCTTGACCCATAACCATCAGCTGGTTCCATCATTCCATGTGGGCCCTATATGTACGCAATACTGGCGAGATTGGGCTTCGAACTTTCGACGTTTCGTCCTTACAGTCTTACAGATTTGGTCTTGAGACCACCCGGTTCGAAAGACCGCATCCGCATGGTTCAAATATTGTTGATTCCATTTATGGACCAACAGATTGGGACCAAATGGATTGGAGACAAATCCATAGAGGCATAGACACGGGCTGGGGAAACCTATCTCGACTCTCGAGTGAATACACCATTGCTCCGTACACATGGGGCCACAATGCATACTATACTCCCATGTACTAGGTTTTATACTTTAGTTTGCATGATTTTGTCTTTAATTAATCCGTACTCATGTTATTCAATAAAAATAAAAGAACATATTCTTAAAACTGTATTTTTGTTTTAAAAAAACAAAAATAATTTGATTTTGTTTCAAAACATAATGTATATTTTTTAAACAATCAAAATTAGGGGTTGATGCTAATCGAGTTTTTCATAAATTATTTTAAGGTTAACTTGTGAAAAGATCAATTTGTCTTAATTTAAACCAAGTTTCGAGTTAAATTCAAGCCCAACCAATATGTTCAATTGCTTGATGCTCATGCCCATTGAAGTTTGGCTCATGAAGCTAGTAAGCATAATAAGAAATAATTATTTATGTGTATATATTTGTTCGAGCTCAAGCCAATTCAAGTTCAAATATATAAGCTTTTGAGTTGAGCTGAATTCAAGCTCATGTTTCTAGTTTGAATTGAACTCAAACCTCATATTTTTCTATTGAGTCAAGCTTGAATAGATAAATATTAGGTTCAGGATGACTAAAATTCACCCCTAATCAAAATGATGGTGTTTTCTAGAACGAAAAACAAACATTGTCGTATAAAATTTATGATGGGACGTATTAATTATAGGTTTGGAAGAAAAAAAAATACATACATAATCAATAACGTTTTTTCCGTTATTTTTGTTTTAAGAATCAATTTATCTTCAAAGGAGTTGGTGGTTTTGTTTTGACAAATCATAATCAAGAATACACCCCCCCAAAAAAAAAAAAATATATATATATATATATATNGCTCCTCCTTTTCAACTCTTGTGTTCTACTGCTTCTCTTCCCTCTTCCTCCTCTTTTCTCTTTACCTTTCTTCTTATTTTCGAACCTGAAATCAATTAGGGTTCAAGACTGATAACAGTCCTGAACTTCTACTATATGCATCAAGGAGAACATGTTAATTCACAGTAGTTAATAAGGGCATTAATTCATCTGTTAGTGCACAGTAATTTGCAATGTTCAGAGAACCGGACCGGGCATGGAACCAGAGAAGGGAGAAGTTCATGGGCCAGAGGTTCAACTGGGGATTGAACCATGATGGCATGGCAGATATATATATATACACATATTTATTACAGGTCATATAAAAATTATATAATATATTTTACAATTTTTAATATACTTAAATATGGTGTATGGGTGGTAAGTTAATTTTTAAAACAAATAATTAGGGTTCAAGTCTCTTGATTTACATTTTCTTTAAAATACATGCGTAATAAAGTAATATGTACAATAAAGAGTCATTAATTAAAACAAGGAAAGGTCTAAAGGGCTATTAATTGAAGTAATTACACTTGGAAAATATTAAATAAGAAAATAGTTGTTTTCTGATTCAATTCAGTAGAAAAGTGAAGAGAGAAAGATCGTGAATAGAAGAAGAAAGAGAAGAGGAGAAGAGAAGAAGAAAGACAAAAGAAAGGGTTCGGCAGAATTAATTCTCTAGCCGCCCACTAAATTTTATTTATATTGTGATCTTTACAATGACTATATTTACCTTAATACCCTTACTTAAAAAAATAAAAGAAAACAAACAAGGCCCAACTGGCCCAACAACCATAACTGAAAAATAAATATATTAACAGGTAATAGCAAATATAAAGTGTGGGGCTGGAACCCCACACACACTACTAGCCTATCAGCTATCTCTACAATTACCACAAGGGTGTTGCAATGGGTGAAGTCTTTGAAGCTATTTGAAGATGTTTCCACAACAGCTTTGCTGAAAAACTAGAAGGAAGTGGCCCGGTCAGCTCCCAACAAGAGTGTTCTTCATCCATTATGGACCGTTCCAGCTCCGGGTTCATAAAGCTAAATTCTGATGGCAGTAGTGAAGGAAACCCAGACCCTTCAGGCATTGAAGAGGTGTTTAGGAATGAGGTGGGTGAGATTATTGCTATGTTCTCAGGTCCAATTGGGGAAGGAGACTCTCTCCGAGCTGAAGTCCTAGCTGTTTTGGAAGGTGTCAAAAAGGCTAAGGAGCTCAACTTAAGGAGGTTAGCCATTGAGGGAGACTCGATATTGGTAATAGACTGATTGCAAAAAGAGGAGAGCAGCATGTGGAGTTACCTAAATGAAAAAGAAATCTTCAAATGGTTGATCCGAGACACAACAGTGAGGTTACAATGGGTAAAGAGGTGCGCTAATTCCTTTGCAGATGCACTAGCCAAACAAGGGGTGGGAAGGAATCAATTGTGCTGGGCTTACATGTAATGTTTAATTTTCAGGGGAGTTAAGAGAGCTTATCTCCCCTGTCTTTGTACCATAACTCTTTTTTCATTATGAATTGATTTTGTTACTGATAAAAAAAAAAGTCATTAATTAAAACAAATTAAGAGTGGACTAATGGTAATTAAGCAATATGTGAAAATAAGAGGTCAAGGGTTCAAATATTGTCAAACACATTTTAAAATTTCAATTAGTTAAAGACCCGGGCAGTTTCATGAAACTAGGACTGGTCAGACAGTTTTCATCGATTTTTCAGCAAAAGTGGTTATTGGGGTAAGACCAAACCGGCCAAGGTCCCAAGTCATGGTTCAACTGGTCCAACCGGTCGGTCCGGTCCAGTTCAGTTTTCTATATGCTTGTAATTTATGATTGTTCTTTTATACTTGATAAGAGTAAATTAGTGCACAGTTAAATAACAGATGGAAAACATGTCATAATTTTAAAAAGAAAATAATTCTATATTTACAGGACCCATTATCAATCTCACAAAGTTTATTTAATTACCTCTTAATGCACAACTTGGGCCAATTGTGAAACCCACCCAACAGTTTCCATCAAATCAATCTCCTTCCAAAGGGATTTTAGCATTAAGAAATATACAGCTAAGGGCTTCTCCCCATATCTTAGATTATTCACATCATTCTTTAGTTTGTAGGCCCTAGCAACATTCAATTTCTAGGAATAGGCCTCTGTAACACTATCGCACACCTCCTTTGTAATATCCTACAGGTAGTGTTGACTGATATAAGGTTGCATGGATTTTTTTTATCAATAACAGAATTTCATTAAAATGAAAATAGAACAATTATAATATCCTTCCTTCTGCAGCCACTCCACTACCAGCTTGGAATCGCCTTCTATGATCATCTTTCTAAAAAATAAACCAAAAGAAAAGAAAAGAAAAGAAGATGGAAGAAGAAAGAGTTCAGAAGAAGAAAAAGAGAAGAGAAGAAAAGGAGATTGAACCCCTCTTCAATCCCCTAATTACTTTTATTAATCTACTAATTGTAAAAACCAGTACAATGATCAGAGTGTCCTCAATAAGGCGGCTACTAAATAAACAAAAAAAAAGAAAAAAAAACTAGCTCAATAAACTAAGGCCCACTAATTGAAAACATAGCATACCAATAACTGCACCCATAAAATAAAAGGACTAAGGCCCATTCAGCCCATCAACTCTACAGGAAACAAGACTCTCAAAGAAGAAAAAGACAAATGGCCCAAACAATGATGCCAAAGTAAAATCTAGGCTTTATTACAAGGACTCTCAAATTCACTCACAAAACTTGCATTACTCGACTCCAAAGCAACAGCGCATCCAAGATGTAGAGACCACCAACCACACATCCCTTACCAATCGTTCTCCCATAAATCAAATCCTAGAAAACACATAAATCAGGAAAAGAAAAGGTTAACTACAATTTAAGGATTTGGTAATACAACTAATGGATAAAAGATTGGTAGGAAATTTGGGAACATAATAGACTGAATGCAGGTGAACCCCATTTTGTAAGGACACAGTACCTTGGCCAGCAATAGTAGTGTGAGAACCATCTGCTAGCTTTACTTTGTCTCTACCAGAAAGTAAATGGTATGCTGAAAACAAATTTAGCTTACCAGTCAAGTGGTTGGTTAACCCAAAATCAATGACCAAGGGTTGGAGGATGAAGTAGACACATGGTATGCAGAGGCCTAGTTACCTAATGTGGACACATGTGAGGTAAAAGGAGTCATAGAGGTCTCTTCAAGATGACAGAGAGCCCTCCCATGAGTTCCCATCAGCGCCCCACAGCACATACCAACTGTGTATGAGAGATGTTCCCAATGCACGCTGAGATGTGCATGTGGATCACTGATGTGATCTCCCCTACCATACTCTTCCGATTAATCATGTAAGATATTCAACATTCCCTCCTTAGATCTAGAACCTATGGAGATATACTCTCCTGAGATGAGCCACCAGAAACTGCATTAGCTGAATAAGAATTCTTCTCAGACTATTGTGGTTGCTTCTTCTGGAGGGATTGAAAGTTCTTCAGCTTGCCAACAAGGTCTCAACATGTCTCTTTGGTATGTTGGGGTCTACCACAATGAGAATATTTTAACTTATCTTTGTCAAATTCTTCAATCTTCAGCCCTACACCACCTTTTTTATTTCCACCACTTCCCTTGGTTAAGAGATCAATTTGTTGCTCCCCTTCTAGAGGAGCCATGGCTATCCTCCTACTCTGCTCGGACTAAACCAGAGAGTACACTTCTTCAAGTGATAGGAGCTCCTTACTCACTAAAATTTTAACATGAATGGGCTCATGATTAGGGTTAAGACCAGCCAAGAAGGCAAACACTCGATGTTGATTCACAAGTCTTTTATACTCTTTTGCATCTAACTCATTCTTCTAGTCAACAGTTTGATAATAATCAAGCTCCTTCCACATCAAGGCAAGAAAAGAATAGTAGGATGATAGACTTTTCTTCCCCTATTTACAAGTGGACGACTCAACCTGAAGCTGATATATACGAGCATAGTGTCTCTGATCAGAAAAAGTATCCTTAGCTTGATCCCAAATCTCCTTTGTTGTATCAGCCCACAAAAAGTTCTTCCTCGAGCTAGGGTGAACAGAGGTCACAAGCCAATACATAATCAAATAATTGTCTTGATCCCACTTATCACAGATGAACCAGCCTCCTTGGGTTCAGGAACATCACCAGATAAATATCCTAGCTTTCCTCTTGATCCCACATAATTTAACACTTTTCGACCACTCCAAATAATTCAGTCCATCAAGGACAGTAATAGCCACAGGGAAACCCCAACTTTCAGCACCTGGACTGACCAAATTCTGACTTCCAGTGACTTCTGATATGGCTGAATCATCAATAGACATTGCCCAAACACAACAAAGGTAGCAACCACACTTAAAACTTATACCAGGAAAGAAAAACAACACCAACAAGAGAAAAAAAGGTTTGTTTTGTCTGCTAACTGCACACTTCTATCAGCTGGAAGACATAAAACTCCTTCCACAAAGGTGAAACCAGCAGTAGAAACAACTTCAAACACCACTGATCCAAAAAAGGAAAGAAAAAAAAAACACCTCCAGCCAATTCTCATAGCTTATATACTTCCAAAAAAATCAATTTTCAAGGGGAAAAATGGGCACCTCAAGCATCAAATACACCACTACACAGATTGCCTAGGTTGAAACTTGGTGTGAGATCCATAAAACAAGACACACCACACAACAGAATGAATCTCAGACCACAAAACCAGCAAAAACTGAGAGCTACCTCTCAACAAACTCAAAGCCTCATCACAGGATAAGAGAGAAACACCCAAACAATCACCCTTTAGGTCCTACGACCAAAAAGAAAAAAACAAAGAATAGCAAAACACTCCTTTCCCGATCAGATCCTTTTCAGATTTGGAAAGTTTCAGTCTTTTCCAGAGAGAATAAAGAAGAAGAGGAAGAAAGACCCACTCCAGCCTCAAACTTCTGTCCAACCTGCTTTGATACCATCTAGAATGGACGAGAAAGAAGAGGAGAGAAACAACAGAGAAAAAAGAGGAGAATATTTGCCAAAAAGCATCAATGGTGGTGCCCTCACTGACTTATGTATTAAGGTGTTTAAAATAAGAGGGAATATTACAAGAGTACCCCTGATTACAACTTAACAGAGAAAAGACACTATTAACAGTCCTAACAACAGTGTTCATTGTAGATGACAATCATCTTGTCTCCCTGATGTGATTTTGTAAGGGACCAAAGCCTATCATTACCATCAACTATCCATCCAGTAACAACCTGAGAATATCTAAGGGAATGATGTGAGCATAACGAATTTTTTGATAGAAGGAGCAGGCCCCTGATAATTAGTCAGAGAGTAATGGTTTCTATCCTTATAAACACCAGTACTCTGTGTCTCTTCATCTGGTTTTACCAAAAAACACGATATGCTCAAACCACACTCAATATCCATATTATTACCCACAAAATATGCATCATTAACTCTTAATAAGTTAAGCCATCAAAGCCCAACTGAACCTGAAGGTGAAGTTTGGTCAGTTAGCAATCTAGGCCAAATACCATGACACATAAACTGATAGTACAAAATCTATCTTTTCATCATTTTCTTCCTATGCAATAAATCCATATTGATTGTGGATGAGTTAGAATTTTAGTTTTCAAACAATAGTAATCATGTGTTGCCAATAATGTAATCAAGGAAGCTTGGTGATGTCTGTGCATTTTGGCTTCCCCAGGCTAGGCATACATGATTTCAGTATATTCAGATGCTAACACAATATTGTGTATCCATGTGGGGAGGGCTATGATTTCAGTATATTTTGTGTATCCATGCGAACACGATACCGGATACTGCATGGATACTTCAAAATATACTCTGGCAATGAGACTTTTAAAATATGTATTATGTAAAGTGGTATATCTTAACAAATTATGCTATAAAATAAAGGCCATTACCCAATGTTGGTCCCAGCTATCTGGGGTCTTGGGAGGGGAGAACTGGATATGGTCCTAACCTTCAGCAATTTTTTTTTTTTTTTTTGCATAAAGTGGCCGCTCTCAGACTCAAACCCATGTTCTCATGCTTGAAAACCAGATACAATTGGGTATCTGGATGAGATATGTAAATATATCACTAGGCAATCTTCTTTGTCATTGGCATCTACTGACTGGTGCTGCACAATCAACTTGGATGTATCAACTGCCTTGGGAATACCTAGGTTGAAGTTGTCTAGAATTGCCTAGTCATTGCCTTAATTACTACAATACCAATACAATATTTGTTGCATGTGTTATCTAACCGAAAAGATATTGGTTCAAAAGTCCTATATCTTTTACTTTTATTTTATTTTTCATTTTCTCATATATGTAAAAAGATGATATTGATATCTAAATTATGAGGTAATATTCCCTGAACAAAGTTAACAGATTAATAATATAACATTTTCATTACATTATCCTATCATCCTTGTTGTAGTTCCATATGATGTTATTTAAAAACAACAAAAAAGGCAATTACCCAATGTTGGTCCCAGCTATCTGGGGTCTTGGGAGGGTTATATTGGGTAGGGTCCTAACCTTGTTTTTTTTTGGCACAAAATGGCTGCCCTCAGACTCAAGCATGCCAGCCCAAGATTTTATCATTACACCAAGTAATGGTCCCTCCATATGATGTTATTGTATAGATAAATAGGTAAATGCATTTATTGTGTGAAATCATGGAAATATAGTTTTCTATTGAATAAAATTCTTTGCCATTAACCAAATACAACCCACTCTAAACCGGCCCCAAAAGGAACATCGATTGACAACATGATGAGATTCAGTTCCCTTTCAGAGTCTCTGTTGTAACAATTACCAGTGTAAAAACCTAGTATTTCCAATAAAAAAAAGGTGGAAGGATCACTTTAAGAATGTTATTTGTGTATGTTTTGTGCTTCAGAAGTTAGTAGAACCTTAAGATTTGCTATAAAAAATGACAATAACCTTCATTTGCATGAAGGGCCGTAGCTTATCATTGTCAGGTGGTTCAAGATTTTTCATCGGTACCAATCATCTTGTGGATTGCTATTATGGTTCATCCCTTATTTAAGGAAAACCATTTACTTCTTTCCATATATTCCCTCTCTGTAGATAGAAAACATTATTTATATTCAAATTTTTTAAGAAGAAAGAAATGGCAGATGGAATCCCATCCCAATAATTGCTATATTGACGCAACCATCACCACCACTGCAGTCATGCTATCGCAGCTTATTAGGTTACGCATTGTTTTAGCAGGATTCAATCAACATTGAACGCAAAAAACTTTGTTAAACATCGTTCAGATTAAAGCTTCTGAACATCCAAATTCGCAATAATTGCAGGTGCACATAATTACATACAATTTCCGACATAAATCATCTCTACAACCAAGAAACGAAATTCCGGAAAAGAAAGGAAAACTTAAAAGAAAACTATAGAAGCAAATACAGAGTAATCAGGCAGACCTTCCATGATGAGAAAGCTCCTTCAACGACGGCACATGGCCCTCCGGAAGTCCAGCAGCTGATACGAACTCCCGGAGTTCATTACAGAGATCCACGTTGCTCTTCACTTTCTTTCCAACCCTGCATTACCGAATAACTCGCATGCAGTAGAGAAATTAACAAAAAAGATAAACAATTAAAGAGAGAATCAAGAAACAAAACCTGGGTTTCTTGCTGGAAGAAGCAGATATCGTTATCAGAACTCTGCGGGGTGGGTTGCAATGGGTTCCCCATCTGAGCTGCCGCTGACGCTGTTCTTGGCCTATCACGAAGGATGATCGATGAAATGTGCAGAGCTCATGCGAAGTGCATGGGAAGAAGCTTGAGAGATGACAAAGAAATGCCATTAGAGCAGTGAGAAAGATTTTGCAGCATTGAGAGCTGAAATTCTTGAAGATTCTTGGTTCGTAATTTGGGGATTCAGTGAAATGAGTCCGGAGACAGAATGGTGGGAAATGCGGAACCGTGGATAGGCAGTTGGTCTTTTGTTCTGTGTGTTACTGGGTGGGCATGATTGATGCTGTCTGCTGCAGAGGAGTGACATAGGACCTAAAAGTTCGCTTTCGAGGACTTACGGAGATGCGTAGTGGAATCTCAGCCACACATTTGGCGCAGATGGGTCCACTTCTTCTGCCATTTACCCTGCAGACTGCACCAGGCCACCAGTAAAAAATGCACCATCGACCATCGTCTGTGGGCTGTGGCAAATCACGCCGACTCCGGTTTTGGATCGACTCGGATAGACCGGGAGTGATCGGGGTATGGACCGCGAGTCCGGATTGACCGGAGAGTGGAGTGGAGTGGAGGACAAAATCATCCACACCGGTTTGGGTAACCTGGAACGACTGGACGAGTGAACACACCAGGGTTCTTGACCCATAACCATCAGCTGGTTCCATCATTCCATGTGGGCCCTATATGTACGCAATACTGGCGAGATTGGGCTTCGAACTTTCGACGTTTCGTCCTTACAGTCTTACAGATTTGGTCTTGAGACCACCCGGTTCGAAAGACCGCATCCGCATGGTTCAAATATTGTTGATTCCATTTATGGACCAACAGATTGGGACCAAATGGATTGGAGACAAATCCATAGAGGCATAGACACGGGCTGGGGAAACCTATCTCGACTCTCGAGTGAATACACCATTGCTCCGTACACATGGGGCCACAATGCATACTATACTCCCATGTACTAGGTTTTATACTTTAGTTTGCATGATTTTGTCTTTAATTAATCCGTACTCATGTTATTCAATAAAAATAAAAGAACATATTCTTAAAACTGTATTTTTGTTTTAAAAAAACAAAAATAATTTGATTTTGTTTCAAAACATAATGTATATTTTTTAAACAATCAAAATTAGGGGTTGATGCTAATCGAGTTTTTCATAAATTATTTTAAGGTTAACTTGTGAAAAGATCAATTTGTCTTAATTTAAACCAAGTTTCGAGTTAAATTCAAGCCCAACCAATATGTTCAATTGCTTGATGCTCATGCCCATTGAAGTTTGGCTCATGAAGCTAGTAAGCATAATAAGAAATAATTATTTATGTGTATATATTTGTTCGAGCTCAAGCCAATTCAAGTTCAAATATATAAGCTTTTGAGTTGAGCTGAATTCAAGCTCATGTTTCTAGTTTGAATTGAACTCAAACCTCATATTTTTCTATTGAGTCAAGCTTGAATAGATAAATATTAGGTTCAGGATGACTAAAATTCACCCCTAATCAAAATGATGGTGTTTTCTAGAACGAAAAACAAACATTGTCGTATAAAATTTATGATGGGACGTATTAATTATAGGTTTGGAAGAAAAAAAAATACATACATAATCAATAACGTTTTTTCCGTTATTTTTGTTTTAAGAATCAATTTATCTTCAAAGGAGTTGGTGGTTTTGTTTTGACAAATCATAATCAAGAATACACCCCCCCAAAAAAAAAAAATATATATATATATATATATATATATATATATATATTCTGCTCCATTCAAAAGCTCATATGTTTGAGCAGCTCAACTCAAAATACGATGGTAAGCCAAACCTACTCAAGTTCATATTTGAACATAAACTCAGTACTTGTCCTACTTGTTTAATATTTAAAACCCACAAAAAACACAGAAAAATTGTCTGGTCTCATCAAACTAAGAAGAATAATTTGCTTATTTACCATTTAAAATCACAAAAAAAAAGAAATTGTTCAACTGTTCAACTAAAAAACTTGTAAGTTATAGTTCAACACATGTATTTCAATTCAAATTCAATACAAAAATCACAAACTAGTTGAAGGTTTAAGTTCAATAGTTTGATACACTAATCAGCCAGTAGCTCATACCTCAATACACAAACTGCGAGTTTCATACTATTCGCGCCAATATATTAGATTTGAACTTGGGTTAAGTCTAGATTTAGACCGAGTTAAATCAACCTTGAATGCCTTGCTCCCATTCCTTTTGGGTGGAATCAACTCAAGAATGTCACGCCATATTTGATCATAGGTCCTGGAGCCTTGACTCTTTGTTCTAAGGGCCGTTTGGCAAGTATTTTTTAAAAATCTTTTGGAAGCTCTGATGGTTAAAAGACGTAGTGAATATTTGCATTAAGATCTTGACAGTTTGAAGACCATTTGGTTAAGACGTGTATTTTGGTGCAAAAACAAATTGAAAAAATAAACCAAAATGTTCTATTTAGAGCTTCTTGAAAATAACCTAAAACGAGCTTTGCACATTTTTTCGACGCAATGTCTTTTGGCGGTTAGATCTCTTATGAACCAAATGGAAAAAAACCACAATGCGGTCTGCCAGACTTCTAAATATCCGACAGACCATACGGAAAGATACACCAAACGGGGCCCTAATTTCTAGACCTTTATTTCTGGATACACTTGGCCCAACGTCAGGCAGTCCAAGTTAAACTGTGTCAGGCCAAATCATCAACTGTTTGGATTAGATCCAGGGTCCATTTGGGAGAATTGGAGCTTTGACTGAGCTACTTCCAGATATATTGATGAATGCTAGTTATTTATTTAGCAAAATCTTAATATGTAGTGACTTCATTTTGAAATATATGAAATCTCCAATCTCTTGGGATTTCATTTTACCAAGTCTGTTGCATATATATTCAACAAACATGGGATGGGGTTTGCCAAGGAGTAGGAGGCCAAGCTGCCCCAAGAAGAAGCAAAGCTATCTAGGCCCAACTTGGCCATGGCTTCAGCTGAAGCTTTCAACAAGTGGGTAGTTTTCAGGCTTAATTTCGAGGCCCATTTATTTCATAGTCCCAATCAATCCAAGTTCTCCCTTTTTCTTTTTCGTTTTGCACGAAATGTTACTTGGTTTTATTTCTTATGTCAATCTATGAAATTATGCTATATTTTACTCCATGGGCCTCTGGTTCAACTGTAACAATATGAAATCCCAGTACTCAAAACTTTAAAAGAAAGAATATTTATCAGTTCCTTCTTCTTGACAGCCTCTACTGCTTCTCGGTTCACCTGAACCCGACCCGAGCCATTAATATCCCTACCTATTTGCTTATGCTATACAGTAATTAAAGTAAGGTGGTTATTTTATTGCTTTTCTTGCCTAGGCAGATTTGCTTGGGGGAATTTGGATTCACGGGTCGAAAGTCAACCTTCGGATCCAAACCATTAGATACCATTTGGGTAATGAATGAAGGGACTGGTGTATGCTACAGAATCCATGAATCATTATTTTAAAGAGGTACCCAGTTGGCTAAAAACAAAGAAAACCAAGCATGGTTTTGTAATTTATATTGAGATTATTGATTTATATGGAATACAAGAGGTGGTGGACCTTGTTTTGTCGAGTTCCCACCGACTTTGGTGCCGACCAGGTCCAATGGGTTCCCAGCTTATCAATTATGTATAAATATACTTTTACTTTTTGCTATTTTCACTGTACTGGGTTGCACAGACACAGAACACAGCTGCTGGCCGGAGAGCTTTGAAATTTGAATTGCTTCTTAATTAGAGCCATTCTACACATGATATCGGCTTTCCAGTCGCTTCCTTTAACTGGTTTTTGGGATCCCTCCAGATCCAATATATAATTAGGATCAAAAGAAAGTAAGTCAGCCCTCCATTGTTTATTTAAAAAATGATCGCAATAGCGCTGATTACTATGTCTTGCCGACTTCTCATTCTGTAGCACCACCTGCGCATAGTTTCAAAGCAATGTCCTCTTCTTCGGCTGCTGTTCATCTTGGTAATCGGACTAACTCAGTCCCCTCCCTCGGAAAGTTAAGACCTTTCTGTTAATTGTAAACCTTCCTATATTATGGTATATAAAATTAATCTCCGCTGGATACAATGTTAGCTAGATTCAGATGGTTTTAGCTCGAGGATAGCGATGTCAATACTCAATAGGTCGGTTGATGAAGGGAAATTTGGCCCGACCTCGCGATCGCCCGACACGTGGCAAAGGTAAGCAGCTCGGGACAGTGGAGCACCCAAAGCGAACATCGGAAGCAAGTCCAAACTCACTACCGAGCCCGAACTCCAGACCGCTGTACTTAGTCCGAGCTCCTTRTTAAGAGCRAGCTCCCYGTCAAAGGTCCGAGCTCCCTAAAACCCGAGCTCCCTAAGTCCGAGCTCGGTACTAGGAGCCCGAGCTCCCTGATTAAGAGCGAGCTCCCTATCAAAAGTCCGAGCTCCCTAAAACCCGAGCTCCCCAAGTAAGAACCCGAGCTCCCTAAAAAGCCGAGCTCCCTATTAACTCCCTACTGGGAGTCCGAGCTCGCTATTAAGAGCAAGCTCCCTACTGAGAACCCGAGCTCCCTACAAGGAGCACGAACTATACTGGGCCCCAAGCCTCACAAAGCTGACCCGAGCTGACCCGTGGCAGCTCGGAACACTCCAAACCGAACTCAAGGCACCTCGCTC